TGTGCATAATTATACTGTTTAATCTACCTGTGGGGTAGAATGAGATATGTTTTAATATAAGTGTGCTACATCCTGTCACAGCCATCACATTTATGTTTTCGACCAAAATAGCTCACTTTGAAATTTGAATAATACTTATTTTTGGAAATTAAAAAAAAATGTGAAGAGTTAAAATTAAAACAAAAAAAATTCAAAATTTCACAAGGCTTGTAAACACTAGATACTTGAATTAGTCATGGTGTGTGTAAAGATGCTCAAAAAAAGTCTAGTTTTAAATGAAATTTAATTTTATCACTTGGGCTTGAATAAGTTGATAATAAAGTTGGAGTTTAAATTGTTTTACACCAAATATTATGTAGATATTTTTACATCATTAAATAGCAAAGGTGAACTGAAGTTTTTTTTTTTTGTCAATTATATGTTTTTAAGGTTCTTGAACAAGAAACTTAAAAAATAATATGGATTAGCATGGAAAGAAAGGAGTCTTTAACATTAACATATGTATTTAGTGGCACTTGACTGAGTTACAGAGAACTAACTGTGCTCTAAATATCCTTCTTTTTTTTTAGGTGAGAGACCAACAATTCATGGGAAGAGGTCGTGGACGGGGTCGTGGGTTTGATGGTCCAGGAGGTGGTCCTAGGTTTGGACCTCCAGGTGGCCCTGGTATGGGACGTGGAAGACCAGATGGAGATTTTCAGGAAGTTCAATATACAGTTCCAGCAAATAAATGTGGTCTTGTTATAGGCAAAGGTAAAAATTATGTTTATATTATATTTCCAGCTATTACTGTACAGATTGGACTGTTAGAATTCAAGCTGTGAACTTCTTATAAAACTGCTTTACCGATAGATAGATTTAAATTGTGGTAGTATAATGCGCTCAGACTGAATTTTTATGAAGCAAAAAATTTTTATTCTTTAAGGAAAGAATAAAATCAAATAAAGATGTGCATCAGTATAGTATGCAAAGCAGTTTTATTAAGAAAAATATGGCCAGTGAAGTTATTTTTTGTATGATGTCAGATTTTGTTTATTCCTTATATGCTTAATTTGTCTTCTTGGATAGGAAACACGTGCAGTTGGAAACTAGATGGTGATCTCCAGATCTTTTTATATTATGAACTGGCACTTGTAATTTTTATTTGAAAGTTTTTCTGTTTTCAGATGACTTAAAACTTTATACATACACATATAATTACACTTAAATTTTTTGAGGCTAAAATAAAGCATTCATAAGGAGGGGGAAAAAATCACAGAATATCAGGCAGACTTAAATCATTAATTTGGAGAAAGAGGTTAACAGTGTTTATAATACTCACGACTTAGTTAGAGCTGAGAATAAGGTTATGGAATTATTGTTGTACAGTTATTTGAAGCTCTAATTGAAATTATATTTGTCCTGACTATAAATATATAAACATACATAAATCTTGTGTGAAAAGAACGAAATTAGCACAATAACACATCAAAATGGCTGAGAAAACCACTAGGGGACATTCTAAGCTTTTGATTGGTTATTCATGTCATATACAGACCTAAGTGTATATAAGGGACCGTTTCCAAAATTGAAAAGAGGTGGGTGGAAGCCACTCTGGTTGATTCAGTACATGAGCGTGCGATATCTTAGCAAATAGAAAAGATAAGAGATTCTTATTTTATATTTTAGCTTGTCAATATCGGTAGTTTGAGTTCCTAATTCATACGAAACTATAGACTTTGTATTTTGACACACAAAAAAAAATAATTTGAACCAGTGCTGCATTCACCATACCAGGTGACACACAAAAATTGATGTTTAGCTGTGATTATTTAACATTTACTTTTAAATTAAGAAATTGAGTAAGGTATAATACTAAAATTTAAATTATAATCTACAGTTTGATACCAAAAATATTGAATGCAAGTCAACAAACACAATGAAATGGCCTTTGACATGTCACGATAAAGTTAATAAAATTTTTTATGTAATTCAGTAACACTTTGAACTGATGGTAAAAAAATCTTCTATTTACACACACTCAAACGATGATAACTATTTGCATATATTTGTCATATATTTCTCTTTATTTCAGAATCATGTTTAAAGAAATAATTATAACAGTGATTACTGGTGAATAACAATAATTTGGTATATTTCATTTCACATCACTATTTTAAGAAAAATGACATCTAACTAATTATTGATGAATAAGGGTAATGCCATTTATTGTTGAATTAAAGTAATGGCACATAATTCACTTGATTTCAAGATACTATTTGAGAAAATAAATATTTATCAGCAAATAAAAATAAATAACAAATAGAAGGCACATGTAGTATGTTGCTCAAACACATAGCTATTTTCTTGGACAGTGATCTGAGTTTTTGCTGATGACTGTGGCTTGCTGAAATATTTCCTTCACTTTTGGCAGAGCCTTCAGTGTCTGTGAGTTTCACTTGGTTCTGAAAAACTTCTTGTTCTGGATGTGCCCATCTTCCCTCACCCCATTCATTTAGATTCCTTGGCCTGGCAATGGTGTTTCATGGTTGTGCTTCTCTGGAGAGTGTATTAGGTGGGGAGTCTAGTTAGTATTGTTGTCAGGAGCACTTGTGTTAGAGATTGCCAACTTCTTTGAATATGATGGAGCTGCTGAAAATATTGAAATCAGTAATGTTGAATAGTGTAAGTGCTGTGGGTTTCATTGAACTGATGAAGTTGGGCCTTTCCAAAGTTTAGGTTGCTTCCTTTCAGATCTTAGCTCTGGTAAGGTCTTCTAAGGTGTATGAACATGGCCTACCCAAAGGTTTGAACAGATCTGACAGTAACCTAGCTTTGTTATTGTGCAGCTTTCAGAAGGATGGCTTACATGCTTCAGTTGATGGCTGCCTTTTTTTTTCTACAGTATACGCTTATTGTTAAGAAAAAAATGTACATTAAATACTAGGTTCAGACCACAGAAAAAGTCTGAACATAGTAAAAAAATAAAGTTTGAACAGTATAATTCATTTTTAGTGTGTGTGGCAGTGGAAAAATTGCAGCAGTTCTTATCTGTGAGAATAACTTTTCTGATTTCTGATTCTTTAATAGAGCAAAATAGTAAAATTTGTTCTCCTTCATTAGTGATGAATGATAACAGTATATTTATATTTCTTGGTGCAATGTTCATGTAATATAATTATTTCCAGTTTTTTCTAATGGTTGGAACTGTACTCTTTTATATATATATAAAACCACATTAATTCAGCTCTATGCTGTAATTATGTAAATTCTGAATTACTGACTAATTACCTAATTTGGCCAGTTAAATCTGATGAACACCTGAGATGGTGCTTTGTAGAAACTAAATGAAGACAGTTTAGGATCTAAGTGTACAGTACAATCACAGTTGTGTAATTACAGGGATTTTCATACTGCAATGCAGTCAAGTTTTTCTTCAATTTTAAATAGATTAAGTATGAAATAAATGTATTATATTCTTTATTGTTAAATTTGAAGGACATAACTATTTCATAGTTATGATGGCATTCATACCAGTTACATGGGAGTTTTTATATGAGATACCATAGTACTTGTGGCTTGTATCAAACATTGTGATACCAGGAAGGTGTTTGTGATATTAATTCACAAATATTTGGTTTCACATAAGTTACTAGGAAAAAATTAATTTTTACTTCTGACTGGAGATTAAATTTCACTTTAATATAAATCATACAGTCTGTAATTGTAAGCAAGCTCTGGTTTCAATATTTATGCTCCTACTGAAATTACTGTTATCTCCTGATGGTCTCACAGGTGGGGAGACAATTCGAAACATCAGCCAGCAGTCTGGTGCTCATGTGGAATTATCAAGAGCACCTCAACCTAATATTCACGAGAAAGTTTTTATCATTAGAGGAGCTGCACCACAGATTGAGCAAGCTCAGCATCTGATCAATGAAAAGATTGACATGGTAAGACCAATAATGTGGTAAAATGTGCTAATAATCCAAACTTACTGTGTAAATAGTCATGAAATTTGGTAAGTTTTATTAAAGATTTGTTTGTGTATTTACTGAGTAAAACGTTATATTTTGTCTATTATTTTCTCTGTCCTAGCACTAACTATAGCAAAATCAGTAATTTGTAGAGCAAAACGAAAAGTTGAAAAAGGTGAAATCTAAATTACCTTTTTTTTTTTCTAGAATGACTGCATATTGTAACAGAATTACATTTATTTATTCTAAATACCAATTGGCTTGCAACTGTTTACATCTCTATTTGTTTATTTTCATTGTTTTATTGCTCTTTGAACCACATCTAACTATTTTAACAAAGAGCGTAGTAAAAATTATGCAAAAAACGTATTAAATTACATCACAGATGGCAGTTCAAGAGTATTCCACTCATTTTCTTTTTCGATTTAGATATTCTTAGCTTACTTAATAAGTTTATGACTTTAACATTTTAGTTATTTTTATAACCATAAATTAAAAATAAAAAAACAAATTTAGTACTTACATCTGGGGTTTTGTTATTTTGTTCTCAGGAAGACCCAAGAACTGTAACCCTACTTTTTTGTACCAGTGTTGGTGTTGAACAAAATGTTTTCTTATTTATTTTAAATATGTAGTTTATAACACGCAATATTATCATGCACAAAATAAACAATTTCCCAAGAGTACTGTAATTTAATTGGCTTTCTAACAAAGCTCTTAATGAGTTAAAAAATTCTGTTATCTGGTCATGCCAAACTCCAATAATGGCAAACAATGAAACTGAGGCCAAATTTCTCAAAACGTGTCCTTTTAATGAGCTAGAATCATAAGTGGAACCCTCTCTTTTTATTGGTTATAATTATTATAAACATTTTTTGAAAGTTATAGTATATTTCGTATTGTCCTGTATTTGTTGTACTATAGAAATAAGAGTAAAGAATCATACCAACCGAAACATATTATCATCAACAGGAAATGTGATTGATTTCTATTACGTAAAACAAATTCACTTTTAAAATTCAAGAACTGTTACCTTGCTTGAATAAATACATAAGATAAAACTTTCTAGTAAGTATGCATTTACTTTTTATCAGTTTTGTCATATTGATATGTATGAATAAACCCATTTGTATTAATTTAATATTAGTATTCATGGCTTTTGCAGCCATTTTTGTAATGGCATCATTTAAAATAACATGCTTCATAAAGTTTTTGCCATTTCGAACTTTGTGATTAAAGTGTGTAAATGTTTTATCAAAGTTCTGAAACTTTTATCATTATGATATGTAAGTATTTTTTATATTTAGTATTAAATCTTTTTCAGCACAGGCTCGGTCCCTGGGACTGACCTCGTAACCATTTTGTGCTTG